TATGCAAAAGTCTTAGGTAAATGGAGCTATCATGGTGATTTACGAGGATCCTCAGTATCCTGAAGGTTTCATATTTCCTGCAAGGCGGCTGGAACACGCCAAAGAGATTCCTCGCACACTTCGTGACTATAGTGACCGTCGTGTAAGTTTAGCTTCTACTCTTTTTCCAAGATAAAATAAAGCCTGATTGCTTTTTACAGAATGGTAACGATTACCGGCCTCAAATAGGATTCACTCGTGATGTTCCCGGACGGGCAAGTCTAGATGATTCTGCTCATCGATTCATTCAACGTGAGGGAGGTTATGGAGGTTAAGCCTTTTACATACACTTTTGCAATTACTTAAAGTAATTGTCATGTTTTTATTATTATTAATGATATCACATAAAAATCTTACTTTACCTTCTAGATGACCGTGGTTACAGAGGACGAGGAAACTCGTACAATGGTGGTGGAGGATACAGAGGTATATATCAAAAGTTTGCAGTCACTTTGGAATTATCATTGTTCTTCTAGGTGGTTATAATGATCAAGGTGGCTATGGAAATCGTAATGGAGTTTCTAGCTACAATCAAAGTCCGAACTATGGTGGTGGTGGTGGTGGTGGTGGTGGTGGAAGAGGCTATGATCGAGGAGGTTACAGTAGTAGCGACCGAGGTTATCCAGCAAATAGGAGGGGATACCCTAATACCGGCTACGACAATCAAGGTGCGAGACCATACGCGCTCAGAGGTCGCGGAGCTTACAATGCACGCGGTAGTTATCGAGAATGGCGCTAGTTAACATTACAGAATGTTGGTACTCTAGGCATTGTATCTTATATGTACATACATGTTTCTAAGGCATTTGTGATCTAAGTGGATTGTAAAATATGGATCTAAAATAACTTCGTGAAGTGATTGTTGTGATTGTTGTAGAAGCAACTCTAATGTTGTTGGCCTTCATATTGTTATGTTGTATGGTCCTAAAAATGGATTGAGAGTAAATTATCATCCACTTCATGCGAAAACCAGCAATGCCGAATTTAGATCAAGGTTTTGGGTTTGTTACACAGACAGTCGTGTTCATTCAAGTGATTTTCACTTTTACTTGAATGGCTGCACAATCAAACGCTTTCTTAATGTTTTTTGTGGCATTTGTGAACATGCGAACTAATA